GTTTTGTTATGGAAACGGTTACTAATAGGTTACATAATTATTTAAAAATTTACTACATTTATGATGCATGTGATTCAATATCACGTACATTTCTCATAAAATGGCTTTGACTTTTAGAGAATTTGCAAAGAGCTTTTCAACTCAAAAACAATTAAAAACACGCTACAGTGAATGGACATACGTCCATTATCCTACAGGTACTCATATAGAAACTTTTAAAAAAGAGACGTTAGGTGCGAATTGGTCGCAAAAGTCGTTCGATGCGAACTATTTGCGATAAAGTTCGATCTCGATGCAAAAAGCGTTTGTCTAGCAAATTTCATCGAATTATCTCAAAAATTGCGCCCTATAGGCTGATCGCAATAAAATAAGACGGACATACCGACAATAAGGTAGACAAGCTTAAATCTATTCAGATAAAGATTCTAATATAAAGAAACAAAAATAAATAAATGCGATATGAATTGAATGGAAGCATTATGTCTATGGAACACTTATCTTTATATTTATCGACAAATTCTTAACAAAATTATGACGTATGATCACATCCAACTTTTGAAGAATAAAATAAAACCGTTATACTTTTTGCAATTCCTTTAATATCATTGTAAAGTTAATATATTCTCTTAATCAGTGTATTGGATTCTATTTAATTGTGGCTGATTTCTTATGCGTCCGTCGCTTAAAATTTAAAATCTAAAAATGACAAATATGTTACGATGGACCGGACCATAAATGTTCAATTCTAAATTTAAATTTTAAGGGGATTTTAATTTTTTCATAAGCAAATATGATCGAAGTTATCCGACAGCCTTTAAATGCATACCTAGTGAATTTGTTTATAAAATATATGGACAATACATAATAAATAAATAAAATATAAAACATCAAGTTGAAATTTATGATAAATATTTGCCAAAGTCGACAAATAGAAATTCGCTTTTAATCAGCTTAATTCATTACAACCGTTCGAAACCACATTACTGCTAATAGCTTTACGTGCACATTAGAAGCATAGATTCGCTTTAGCTTTTTAGTAAAGCTAATACCTAAAGTATTCGAGTTCATCAGCCTTGTTAATTGAAAATTAACTTCAATGCTCCTATCCGTCCGATCCTAAGAGCGTTTGGCTCACAAAACTCAGTCAATATAAGTTAAACTATGAATTGTTTAATCTTTTCAGAGTTGGATGCAAAAATTTGAATGTCGTTTATAATCTTATCTCCATATCAGTCTCAACACGAAACGTAAAAAAGACTCTCAACACTAATCCGTAAAAAAACACTTCACACAACTCCTAAAATACAACAGCCCGAATAGAGGCGCGACAGACAATTAGCTTTATCCTCGATATTGAAGCGTCTCTGACCTGATTGCTTTGTGCGTCGGATATTCGGAACTTTTCACTGTCCACTTTTCAGTATCAGCCATGATGCAACGGTACTTTCTCCCAAACTAAATAAAGAAAGTAACGGTTCCCATGTTTTCATTTTATTTTTGCGCAACTCTCTCGGCCGTTTGAAAGTTTCCAAGAAATATGTTGCATAAAGTTTAAAGGTAATTTTTCGAAAGTCACAGTCACATACAGTTTAACAATGGCTCACAGGCAAAGCAGCGACTTTTCTTAAGAAAACATGTATACATACACATATGTATAGATGGGAGAGTACAGAAAGTCGTACATATTGCCAAGAAGGGTCTTTAATCCGTTAAAAATTGTCAACGCTTCTAACACATACTACACGACCGTTTAAGTATACCTCGACAGGAAGGTAACGTGTCTGCATGTGTGTGTGCGTGTGTGTGTGCGCGCGCAAAAAAAAAAAAAAAATTAAAAAAAGTACTAGCGGTTTGCAGCTGTAAATCGAATGCCATTTAAATAACATTTTCATATATATCTCGAATCTCGCCCTTTATTACATTTTTTTTGTTTTAATGTGCTTCAAATTGCTTTTTTAAATAGAAAGGCGATTCGGATACTGTGAAAAAATGAAATAAAAACTTTTCTACTTTTTCACAGAGAATTTACAAAAATTTTTCATTCGGAAATAATTGATGTTTCTTAAGCTTTCGAATGCTAATTTTTTATTTTTTTTTTGAAGGTAAACAGCTAAAGACACCATAGTGGGTTGCAGTTAATCATTGAGTACCCTACATCACCCTAAAGAGAGTCATATAACGCCGTTTAAAATTAGGCGTTATAAGAGAAGTTGCTGACAAAGTGAACCAATACGAACCATTTTCAATAGCGTTCGTCGCGTCAATATTTTATAAATTTCGGACAAAAAAATAAGCGGACAAACAAGCTTAAATCGACTTAAAAAAGTTGCTCTGAATCGATCGGTATAATAACAAATGGGCCTATCCCAAGTGCTTTTGGGTGTTGCATACATCCGCGCACAATTAATACATCCTTGCACCGCAAGTGGTGTAAAGCATAACAATAGAAGCTCAGCATAAAAAAGTAACACACCCATCCACCTACATAAATAAGATAATGAATTCGTTATACATTGATTATATGGTATAGGACGTCAAATTGATTTTTAAGACTTATATTAAAAAAAAAAAATAAAAAATATTTATCAGAAACAAATCTTAATTTATATTTTAAAACAATTCAAATAAGGAAATTTATCACGGGAACAACTTTATTATGAAATTGTTCAATCTATGATGTTTGCAAATATGCATCAATCATTAATTGCGAACGGGAAGCGATCAAAATTAAGGAACTTATAATGTCCTTTATAAGGAACCGTTTATGTATAATTGTCTAAGGAGACGATCTGTTCATTTAAATAATTGGAAAGAAAAAACACTTAAATAGAACTGTGAAAGTAGTTTTTGTTCGGATTTCGTAAATTAATTCGTGAACGAGTTAAAGGGATATCATATGATTGACTTATTTCAATCAATATTTCTTCGAAAATTTTACAACAATTTCAAATTAAATTTAAAAACATATGAAAACTATTTTTTATTCTTCAGCCACTGTTTAACCTATAGACTCTATTCAAGCATAAATGAATCCCAATGTTGTTTACAATTTCTAATGAGAATAAGTGAATGGCTTTATTAAATCCGATATTATACGATCTTGATTCATATTTCAATTTTGTAAAGAAACTTTCTCTTATGGATGGATGAATGATTTTGAAAATAAATTTGATGAATAGCAAAAAAAATGCATTTTTAAACTTGTAAAATTGTGTGTAAACTTGTGTAAAATTGTTCGCGATCAAATATTTTGGCAATAAGAAAACTTCGCCGATTATCAATATTACCACGAGTACGAGATGTAAGTGAGAAAATTGATGTAACTAATTTTGATAAGCATTTTGGTAAAAAAAATTACGAAATGAAAAACATGCTTGTCGGGTTCTCTTATCGAGTGTATATATAGCATAAAATATAAAGAGAAAATCTACCATTATGTGTTATAGTTAGTTAAACATGAATAGGAAAATTTTTGAAATGATTCAATTCATTTAAACTCCTCTGACTGGCATACATACACAATACGCAGAGAAAATAAATTGATGATCCTGGATTAACCTTTTAACGAGTCCGGTCAACTACAGACAATTTCGATATTGATACGATGTGTGGAATAAAATAAATGAAAATATTATATCATTTCGTCGATAGTCACGATGCATATGTGAATCGATAATGACATATCTTTACGAAAACTGGAGGCCGATGGTACAAAAAAAAAAAAAGAAAAAAAAAGCACTTTTTTTATAAGGAATGATTTTACTTTCGTCAAAAAAATGTATCAAGCTGAGAATGTAGAGAAATGCGGTTACATGGTTTTCCTATTAATAAGTCATAGGAGATAAAATGTGTAGAAATACGGAAAGACATATGTTTTCAGCAAAACGCAGTAATATATCGCCAATGGCAAATGAAACCGCTGGCAATATGATATGCCATTAGTGGTTTCATTGTCAGGATGATGTGTATTAAAGCGTTAACGAATTCATTGCTAATGTGATAAATACTGAGATGTTTTACAGGAAGTCGCTAATAATTTGCGAGAAAAATTTAATCATCTAAAATATAATGAATAGACTGTTAAGATCACATTGACTTGATATCATATCAAGCATTTCTTGCTTGAATTTACCATATCTTAAGTATATCAGCACCCCCTTTATTATTAAGGATCTAACAGGTGTTATGTTAGGATGTTTTTACAAATTGTCCCATTATAGAAAAATAAATAAACGCCAAGGTCGAAACTCTTACACATGATTAGCCGAGTAAGCAAAGGACCGCGACTAACAACTCAATGAACGTGGCTTCAAATATCAAACGCGGTAGACTTTTCAGCACACGCGAGCATATCATCTAAGTTATCTGGCAGCCTTTAAATTCACACTTTGCAAATCTATTCACGACATATGTATGATTTCATGATTTCGATGATCACGATAATAAAGCACATTTTTTTCAAATGATATTTTGCTTATAAAAAACAAAAGATGTATATATATATATAAATCATTTTCACTAAACCAAAAATTTATAGGGTAACCATGAAACTTTTTTTCTTTTTTTTTTCATTAGGCGTGATGAGCTCAAAGCTAAACATGCAACAACGGGTTTTGTAATTGAATAAGACTTAACAATGAAAAAAAATAACTAAATAATTATAAAAATAAAGAAATATTTTTAATGTTTTTAACGTTAGTCAAGCCAGACTACTTGTGCAGAGCAATCCGTTTTTTCAAGTTTTTAACTTTATAAGAAAGAAATCAGTTTCTTTTTTACGGTTTGGTGAAAATGATTTAATTAACAATTAATAAAATTGCTAATGTAACAATCGCGACCCAGTTTTCAGAAAAAATTCAAATGTTTTTTTAAAAATACGGTTTTTGAAATAAAAATTTTTGCAGATGTTCAGCAGTATTGTCCTAAGGTCCTTGAAATATGCCTTTTCTTATAAAAATAAGAGAAAGATAAGCAAAAATATATATATGACAAATACGTACCGGTGGTGGCTCACTAGCGGTGCTATACACCTCGCTAGCGGCGTAATCGGCCTTCATTTGAACCGTAGTCATTGAAGCGTTATCCTTATCGGTCATCTAAACTTTCAAAAAATGTTTCTTTTTCCTTAATTTTTTCTTTTTTTTTTTTGTTTGTTTCTTTCTTTCTCTTTTAATTGTCACTATAGCCCGTTTCAGTTTTTGTATTTATCACAATTTTTTGTTGTTTTTTTTTTTTTCGAAAAAAACTTTTAAAAGAAAAAGTAAAAGGAATTTTTCTTCTCTTTTTTGTATACGTATATATAGATATATATAAATATATATATATATATATATTTATATATATGTATGTATGCTGTTTTATAAACTGAAAACCAAACTTGTTTTGATAGAGTAGAGTTTAAAATTCCAGAGTCCGCAAAGTACGTCTTAACCGTGTGACTGCCACTCAATGTCTGCCGTTAGTTAAGCATTGGGTTTCAGATTTTTCTATAAACTTAAGCGTATGCGATTGTACGGCGTTGTGTGTAAACTTTTATAAAAAACAGCAACAAAATCGCTTAAGCCACAACGGCAAACATTGTAACAACCATAGCAGCACAGCAGCAGTAGTAGTAACGGCGACAGCAAAAACAAAAACAGCACCAAAAGTAAAACCACAACTCGAGTGCAAAGCTTAAAAAAAACAACAAAAAATTAAAGTTTATATAAATAGTAAAAAAGAAAAAAAAAAATAGGAAAATTGACAATAAAGCAAAGTGGGGAAAAACAAACAAAAACAAACAGTAACAACAACAAAAACACTATAATTTGTATTTATGATCATTAGGAGGCCTGTGAGCCTCGCGATTAATCTCTCACTCTCCACCGTACTAACACAAAAATGGAAAAAAAAAGAAATGCAAAATAAATCTTGTTTTACACTCTATGAGCTTAGTTTATACCTAACAGCGATGATGACGGCGACCATTATTACGTTTTATATTATCTCCGAAAACCGCATGATTTCTTTGTCGTAAAATATTTGTTTGTTATACTCGTTATCAAAGGATCATGGTATCATCCGTTCGCCACATCCAATAGTGCGCATTAAAGGATCCCAATAGCTTTAGAAATAAATTATGAAGCAAGATTCAATTCACTTTAGCGAACTCCCAGCGGAAGCAAATGATTTTTATCACAGATAGAGAGATAGATAGACAATCTCCTCCTTTCAACTTAAGTACTTCAAAATATTCTCTTTTCTCCGACAAACGCAAAGAACTCTCATGCAATGAAAATAGTGAATAATGAAATAGTTAAGTACCATTCATGCCCATTTACTTATACTCCCCGAATAAATTTAAAAAGTTTCCGTTTCAAAGACAGATGGCCGCAGAAGAAGAAACTGTTACATACACTTGCGAACCGCAAAATAAGTGCAAGGCATATTTTTTTTATTCTTTGCCACAGAATTTGTAAAGGCAAGCCTCAAAAAATTTCAAACGACATTTTTACATATGGCGATACTACGCAAAATTAATTCCGAGAATTTCTCCTGAACTAATTCTTGCACTAAGAACTTGAAGCATTTCATTTTGCTTTAGTAGTTTTTTCATGTGCACCGTGAAAGTTGTGTAAGGGTAAAGTATTTCGTAATGGTTTGCTGTAAAAGTGGATTGCAAAGGTAAATTGCATTTCTTGAGAAGAAAATGCAATATGAATTAATTTTTATAACATGCGTAAATACATCTTTATCTGATGCATCTATATCTGAAATCTCTGTTAGACGCTCTCTTAGAATATTCGATACTTAGGTTAGTGTGATTATAATATTTATTATTTTTCTTTGTTACGAACTAGAAAATCAGATAAATTCTAAGGGAATTTATTTTTATGATTAACTTTAGGTAGTTTCAGAATTAATGTCTCCGTTAATAAATTGTCGATCAGCACAAGTAATCTAAAAAATCGTAACTGAAGAGCTATGATCTTGTAAAAATATAAATCATGATTCCATATTTGCCTGCTTATTTAAGATTATGTCCGATCTTTTCTTTTTATCGGTTAAAAAGATTTTATAAAAAATTGAATCGAACTTTAGTCGCAATGAATTGAAATATCGATTTAAAATATTGCTGCTGCTCTAGGAAACTTTGAAAACAATTCCAAAAAAAAATTTAATTTAACGTTCTGCTTAAGTATATGAAATTGAGACGTTCATTTCGTTAATTCTCATACTTCATTTGATTGAAATTTCACTTGATAAAAGATTTTCCACTAGAAGTTCAAGGCCATACGTAGGTCACAAATATATTATAAGCGTAATTCCATATCAAAAAACAGTCAAGTTTCTTAACAAACTTTCTGAACTTTGTGAATTTTAATTCGATTTACACGCATAAAACCGACCGTTTGAGAGTTTTCTGAAAAGTTTTCAACCTAAGTAGAAAAATTCGCTTTTCTTTATTAACCAAATTGCCTTCAATCAGTCCAACAATTGTCTTAACATTTCAATACAATTTTTATCGAACGATTTCTCGTTTCAATTTCCACAGCAATTCACACATCGTTTTGAAATTTCCGAATAGATGATAGTCGGTGTGGATTAGATCTGAAAAATGTCATGGTTGTGGCAGAAAATCAATCTTCATTTCATGCACTTTTGTCATTAAACCCATTAGCCTATGGCTTGGTATGTTCGTTCCACTAAAAGCAAAGACGGCACCCAACATGCTCATCGCTGCTCTCATGCTCAAATTTGCGCTCTATATGTGACAAACGCGCTCTTTGAATATGTTCTAAGTCTTTGCTACCTCTCTAACTTTAATTCGACTGCGGTCCAATAGTCCTTTTAGTGAACTTAAGATTATGTCATCGTCATTGTGGCTTGTAAGGCGATGTTTCAAATTTAATCTCAATAAATATTAGTGATAGCAATTTCATTTGTACTTAATTTTTTCATTTTTACATTGACTTACAACAACAACTGCATGTCCATTATGGCTGACCTTTACAGCAGCGAATTTCCAGTCAACATATGTATATCATATCTGGCAATAAATCGGTTGCAAAATTTCCATCAATATCAAATCTACAAAGTGGCGTAAAATAAGTGAAAGCTGAAGTTTGTATCGACGCACATTTTCAAAATCTATTCATTAAGCCCCGTGACGTGAAAGAAATTGCACTATACTTTGAACGTAGAAGAAAAAGGTTTACCTCTGATGTATTTTTTCCTTGCCATTTTCCAAAAAGCATTACGAATTAATTAAGTAAATTAAGCGCGAAGAGAATGCCATATGAGTGAAAGATCTTCATCAGCCACCTCGCCGAAAACCATACGTGCAAGGATTAGGTGTCACTCTTGATTTCTGTTGAATGTTTTAAATTTGAAATTTGCATGATCTTATGTATTATGCTAGCATTACCTACCACCATCACCTACCTTCAGCGCGAACCCTAGTAATTGAGTAATCCAATTTTACAGTGCTCTTTATTGTTTTATGTCTGACTACATGTCATTTTAGTGCAAGCATAAGTAAATGTGATGTCTTATGTAGAAGAAGCAGTGACTTCTGAATAATTCAAACTCGAAAACTAACCATCCCAAAATTTATCTTAAGTTAAAAATTTATCTGAAGCAAGCCATAGCCATAGTAAATATTTCACAAGCTGTTTCTGACTATGTATATGCCAAAATTAATTCAAAGAAAATGTAGTGGAAGCCGTATTTCAGATTCAAATACTAAACATCCCAAAATTTATCCAAAGGTAATTGTAGCTTTCTCCCTTATCCTTATTTTATTACTTAAGTTTAATTTTACGTTTTCTCTCAATATATTTTTTTTTTATATGTGTACATATATATATTTATTTATTTTTTTTTATTTTTTTTTTATTATCATTATATGCTTGTGTACATATTTATTTGTGGTGCTTGACTGTTCCTTAATAAATCAACAGTATTATTGTAGTATACAATGCATAAATATTTGTTGTGCATATATGCTTATATACTATGCATGTATTTCAAATTTACATCGTAGCTACTCATGCGCATTAGCATTTAAAAAAAAGCTGATAATAAAGCGTCAAGCTTTGTGAAACCATTTTCAGTCACCAATGAATTCAATTTATTTACTTATTTATTTTTTTTTTTGCTTTATACATATATTTCATATAATATATGGAGGCAGTTGACTTAAATTGAAAAATATATGAATGAATTTTTTATTGTTAGACATTAAATAAAATATCATTTGTTAAAATTATTTTTACAACACTTAACTATATATGCACGTACTTGTTACTACATTCTCATATTTTTGTATCACAGTAATAGATTGATCAACGTTTAAAAAGCCTTAATTTAAATTATATTAAGTTGCACAAAGTTGCGAGAAAAAGTAATGAAAAGCCTTTGGTTAATCAGGACGCAACTTTATTATAAATATATATTCAATTTCAAACACAAACAAATATTCACATCGATATCTATTTTAGGCCGTTAGTTTTATTTCAGAAATTTTATTAGATCTACAGATTATGTCAAGGGTTTAGCGTGGGTAGCTGCCATGATGGCTTAACCACACGATGGCCCAAGGCACACAAGTTATTTAATCGGAACCCACGCCCTCCAGAGAGTTAGACAATCCCTATAAACTAGGACTCTAAACAACACTGGAGTCCAGATTGTTTATTGTGTATGGCTCAATAAACCCACTCTAGTCAGTGTTGAGACCTATCTTCATCTCGATTTATTTCACTTCGGCTTGGAATAGTGAAAATCACAACCAACACAGATACTCCCCGAAGGACCGTACCCAAGCAGTCAGGGCTCACATATTGATCAATTGCTGCGTTCAAAAGGGATTGGCTTGTTTCACCGCAGTTTCCATAAGATTGCAGTTAATCAATATTGCCATCATTACCGGCAGGCATTCATGAACATTTCATTTAAGGCAAACGGGTAGCAAAGCCTTCCGTCAAATCCCTTTTATATTATTTATTTTTATATAATTTTCAGCGTACTGTAAAGTCGCATTAGTCAAAAGGGTTAGAAAAGCCTTCCGTCAAATCCCTTTTATACTAATTATTTATTGCTTTCACTTCTACCCGCAGTTATACATGGCTTTGCTAGCGGGCTCCTGACCCCGTGATGCTTAAAATTAGACTATAAAGCCTTTAGCATTACTTTACATAACTGAACGGTGTCAGACCTTGCCTTCGGATTAACCATACAATCCCGGCTAGCCAAAACCGAACTACCCTTCATAAAGATATTTTAGCTTCGGGCATCGCACTGACATGACGGGCGAGCTACTATGCACTCACTAATTACTACCTCTACGTATTTTTACGTAACCAGTGACCATCTGGCTTATTGGTTAGAATTTCCTCTGTAGTAATTAGGACATTCATCTTTCAGTGCACCCCTAAGCCATTTTTCAGAAAACTCATCGCCGAGTTATAAGTAGTCCAAGCCTTAAACCCTTCTTCGCTGGCCGAAGCCATTGTTCGGAGATCACCCCAATTAAATTTGTTCCGTTTTTGGATAAAACTCGTCCTCACTTCGTCCATCGCTTCATTACCTCCTAAATAGGTGGTATTCACAAGTGGCCGGGTCTTAAGAATACCGCGAAATCCGGTAAAACTTCTCAGACTAAGTTTCAAGATCACTTCTTGGGCTTTTA